CCGTGTACACGGATTCACGGTACCTTCATTCACGTGTACCCGTGTATCCGTGTATGTATGTGACACGTGTACACGTGTAGTCGTGTATGTGAACGTGTACACATGTAGTCGTGTATGTGACACGTGAATCTTAAAACACGTATCGTAAGTTCTACTCCGGACAGCAGTTTGTTCAGTTCCTCGTCGTTACAGATGGCTAACTGCAAGTGGCGCGGGATTATCCTAGTCTTTTTGTTGTCCCTGGCTGCGTTTCCAGCCAACTCGAGGACTTCAGCCGCCAGATATTCCATGACGGCGGCGAGATAGACCGGCGCACCGGCGCCGACGCGCTCAGCGTAGTTGCCTTTCCTCAGATCTATACCTAAAATTTAAAAAAGTCATAAAAATCCACCGGTGACGGGTATGTCGGTGGCGCGCCGATGTTAGCAGAAAAAATACAAATACTTACGTTTTCTAATGGTAGAATGGTGGCATCGGGTACGTCGGCTGCGCACACGTCGGCTGCGAGTACGCCGGCTGCGAGTACGCCGGCTGCGAGTACGCCGGCTGCGAGTACGTCGGCTGCGAGTACGCCGGCTGCGAGTACGTCGGCTGCGAGTACGGTGTCGGGTACACCGCTGTCGCGTACGCCGGTGTCGGGTACACCGGTGTTGCGTACGTCGGCGGCGGCGGCGGCGGCATCGGGTACACCGGTGGTGGCGGCGGCGGCGGGTACGCCGGTGTAAGAAACGACGTGGTATAATACGTGAATGTGTAAGACGTAAAGATACTTTAACGTGAGAGTATGACGCAATCGCTATTTCGCTAGATCGAGCAACGTTCCGCTCTTCTTCGCTCGTCGTTACTTAGTGAGTTCCCCGAAAACCGCCAGCGGGGGAAGGGAGGATTCCCTCTCCCACTACGCGCGCCCATCCATGTATTCCTCCGCGCAGGCCGACAGCGCCAGGATCTGGTAACGCGCCTCTTTTAAGGATGCCGAGTCGTAATTTCCTCACATTCGGCCGTCCTGTTTTGGTGTCTGCCCTCAGACATCCCGTAGAGTTGGTCCCCTCGTTCGTATGGTGCCTCTAGCTGCTTGCGGATCCTCACCATCTCCACGCCCGTTCCACGTTGTCGTCCTGTACAAGGATCAGTAATCGGCCTGGTCGGACATTATCGTCGGCCAGGGTTGATTCGTTCCAACCGCGTCAGCCCATGCTCTCGTACCGGTTAGAATCAACCCGTCGTAACCGGCCCAGGTCGATCTCGTCCGCCAGCCGAGGCAAGTGCGTACTAACTGGCTCGGATCAGTTCCGTTGGACTGACCGAGTTCAGTGCGTATTAACTGGCTCCGATCAACTCCGTTGAGCTAACCGAGTTCAATGCGTATTAACTGGCTCCGATCAACTCCGTTGAGCTGACCGAGTTCAATGCGTATTAACTGGCTCCGATCAACTCCGTTGAGCTGACCGAGTTCAATGCGTATTAACTGGCTCTGATCAACTCCGTTGAGCTAACCGAGTTCAATGCGTATTAACTGGCTCCGATCAACTCCGTTGAGCCTGACCGAGTTCAATGCGTATTAACTGGCTCCGATCAACTCCGTTGAGCTGA